ACCACCACCACCACCACCACCACCACCACCACCACCACCACCACCACCATCACCGTCACCAGAGGTGAGTAAATTTTCAATCATTATTATATAATGTTCGGTTTTTTTTTCTTTTACCGCTTGTACTCGTTGCACTTTGCAACTTGTCACCTTCGTTCGCTCGAACCATCGATCCGTCAACTGACAGGTTATCCTCCGATCCGACCTTCCGCTCCTTTTCTCCCCCTCTTTCTCCCTCCTTCCTTCCTTTTTCTTTCTCTTTCTCCGTCTTTCGTTCTCTCTCTCTCTCTCTCGCTCACTTGGTTCAGTTTTCCTCTCTATTACACCGGGAATCGCGTTTGTGTTCTCGCCGATTTCTGGCATCCATGTTCCTTCGCCTCTCTGCTCGCTCTCTCAGAGGAGAGACCGATCCTTCATAACCCTAACCTCTCGTCCACGGTGCCCTGAAGCGCATTAGTCGCACGCGTTATTTTCGTATCGGCCACCACTTGTTCGCAACCACCGATCGCGAACGTCGAACGTGACGCAACTGGGTGGCGACGTTCGATGTCACTTCCGCCCCGGATCTTCTCTCGGACCGAATCGAACGAATTTCGAACGAACTTCCGCTGTGCGGATTGTCTGCTCGCAACATCGAAACATCGAAAGTTGTTACCTGTCGTATTTCGCACCTGACTCACGCGTGACGAGTCGTTCACCTTTCTTTCGTTCGTCGTCCTTCGATTCGCGATCGTCTCCGCTGTGTCTTTACAAATTCGATCCACGTTAGGTCTCGCGTTCTTTTTTTTTTTCTCTCTCTCTCTTTCTTTTACACGTTCCGAGCTCTTCGGCTGAACTCTTTAATCGCACGTGTTTGCCACGATTTTTCGACACGTGTGAAGCTACACGTGTCACACACGCGTCTTCTGACCAGCGAAGGTAGAGTGAAGACTCTGAGAGACGCAACTCGTCGTCGACTCAGCTTGTTCCACGTACCACCGTGCTTGTAATCGCGAACGAGACCGAACGATCTTCCAAACGAGGAAAAGCGTGAACGACAGAAGGTGGGCGTGGCGTTGAATAATTTTTCGAGCAGCGCGCCTATCGCAATCTTCTTGCTCGAGATGATATTCTCGTTCTCGAGTCTCGAAGAACACGGGCGGAAGAGATTGCAGGAAAAACACCTGTCACCTGACTTGCGTGCTTTCTCTTGAAATAAAAATAATTGTCTTTTCCCTCCGTCTCTAATCGAGAAAAATGGACAATTCTCTCTCTCTCTCTCTCTCTTTTTTCTTTTTTTTAAGAGACAATAGGTTTACAACCGGTCACGCCGGTGTGAGATCGTTCGATACGCGACACGCTCGCCGTTTCGGCGCAATTTCCACCGATAAACCCGACGTCTTTCCGCGTCGCCGCTTTCTCTATTGATATCGAATCGAATTCAACGATATTTTCGTCCCTCTGTTGCCGCGGTTCTCGGCTGTGACCTTAATTTACGAACCGGAGATCGTTGACGCGGAACTGTTCGCTCTTGCAAGATTTTCACCATTGTTGCGTTTCAGTCGCTTGTCGCGGTTATCTATCGGTAACACCTGAATCAGCCTGTCGCTGCCTCGACGCACACGTAATATACACTCACATATACTCATGCTTCAATTGAGAATTTTAGAAACGATATAACTCACCGACTTGCCGTGGTTTTATTAATTCGCGACACATTCGGCCACGCCGTTTTCTCTTACGAGAGAGAGAAAGAGAGAGAGAGAGATCCTTTCCAATTCTATCGAGTCGACCACGTGCGCCGATACGTTGCTCCGATACGACGCAGAGCGATCAACGATTAACGACGATCAACCGGTATCTCTCGATATTTCGTTTGTTTGAGAAATCGGGTCGATGTCAGAGGAGAAAATCGTGTTAGAGATCGTGTTTGTCTACCCCTAAAACGCGTTAGTCGTCCCTCGTGTTTTCCTAAATTTCTCCACTTTCGTTTCGAGATTCGACGTGGGTGAATTATCGGCGCGCGATCGTATTATAGACACGTGTGTATCACGCTCACGATTCCCTGTTCTCAAAGACTCGAAACTTTTTTACGAGCGTACAGGCCGATAAACGGTGCCGCGACCTATCGCAAACGTTGTTTGCTGTCTCCGATCTGGCGATCAACGTTCCACGCGATAACGTGGATCGAAGCGTGGAAACGAAAAAAAAAAAAAAAAAAAAAAAGGAAAAAGAAGAAACAG